GTGGAAAGGCCCTGACCTTTCATCTAACAGTGTTTACCGTTAACACAGTTACGAACTCTGCTTGAAAGCACCACTCCTACTGTCCCCGTCACTCCCTTGCAAGCTGAGATGGCTACTACACTAACAACCCCGTTCGACAGTGAGTGGCGCGTGGGCCTAGCGGCGTGCCTGGCAGACGAGAAGCTTCAGTTCAGTTCAGTTGACGACAACAGCCCCGCCATAGTCTAGACTGACTTGGTTATACCCCCCCCCCCCTCCCCGGCCAACGTTTTCTTTTTCTTTTTTTTACAAAAGCCACAACTCAAGAAGAATGAGAGCATGTGGTGACCAGGCCCTGGAGCTCAGCCGACCATGAGGTCTCGGCATCGCAGCAACCAGAATGCGCCAAAAAAAGCCATGTAAGATAACAAACCCCCAGGGGGGGGGGGGGGGGACAGGGGGATGTGGTCGCGTTACTTACATACCGATATCCCAGTACACCATACACCATACACATAAGCAAGAGAAGATAAACATGTTTATCTTCTCCGGATGTATTAGCTTGCTACGCTGCAATACCGCGCTCTCTTGGCCGGATTGTCCGTCGGCCTTCTCGGAAATCGCTCCGTCGCCCGGGGCCTACCACTGAGTAGTATAAATGTCCATAGCCTGGCAGGGATCTTCTCAGTTTACCATCGAGTTCGACAAAAACGACTAAAGTACTTTATCGTTCAGGACGTGTCCCTTGTAAGCATTCTTTCAGAGATGGCTTTGTTCGCTTCACTGGCCGTGGCCTGTCTTTTTCTGTTGGTTGCTCCAAGCTATGGACAGTTTGGCCCGACAACGAAATGCCAGTATATGGACTGCGATGGCTTTGACTACAGCAAGTGTACAAGCAGCGAGAAAACTTGCAGCGCCTTCAGCAAGGGCTACTGCGTGTCCGCGACGGAGTACGACGCCACCGTCGGTAAGTAACACTATTTGTGTGTGTGTGTGTGTGTGCGCGCGCGCGCGCGTGTGTATGTATGTGTGTGTCTCCGTGTGTGTGCGTGCGTGTGTGTGTGTGTGTGTGGTGTGTGTGTACGAAATGCACGGACCAATACCAGTATGTAGCATGTAGGTGCTGTGTATGCGCCTTGCCCTTGGTCTGTAAAGTAGACTGCCATGTGCGTGATACTACACATGTACATAGCTTCGTTTACTGATCACCAATAGAATTCTGTTCCACCTTACTTGTAGCTTGTTGTTGTTGTTGTTGTTGTTGTTGTTGTTGTTGTTGTACTTTTACATTGTATTTAAAGTCGCATCGCAAATTGGCGGCTTCGTTTATGAAACCTCACTCCAACGCTCCACTAACGGTCTTCACTGCGAATAAAATTAATCAACGTTTGGGCCTGGCCCGTCGTCACTGACATCAGTGTGATTATAGTTTCGTCTTGGTCTAAGGCATGGGTTTGCTCCCACACTGGAGCTCGCGCTATTCCGCCGACTTGACTTGAGGTTCGATGGACTTCTCGTGTGCTCTGGATGGCAGTCGTGAGTCAGTCAAGTGCCAAGTCTAGTCGGCGGAATAGCGCGAGCTCCAGTGTGGGAGCAAACCCATTCCTAAAAAAAACTCATCGCGGAAGTCGCAACCACTATTTCGTCTTTGTCTCAGCTTGTATAACAATGCATGCAGCACACCAATCACTATCAGGCGGTGTGTTACTACTTTTCTTAACTGGCTCGTCTTGTCCTTGTGCTATCCTTGTGCTCCTCTGAAAAGGTTTCCAGCTGAAATGGAAGAAGGGATGTGACGGGGATTTCACGTCTAACGTCAACTGCGGTACCCAGAACACTAGCAAACACATTGAGACCAGTCCATTCGATAGCTCGGTTGTCGTCGTTGCCAATGTCTACCAGTGTTGCTATGGGGATAACTGCAACACCGGCAAGCCACCCAGGGATCCAGGTGCGAAGGATCCGCCATCTACTGGCGGACCCGTTGTGCAATCATCTACCGGTGGCGGTGGACCCGCTAGTCAGCCATCTACCCGAGGCCCCGCTGCAACCGTCACCACATCGTCGGCTTCATGGCCTCGCGGCCAGCTTGCAGCGCTGGTACTGAGTGCAGCGGCTGCATATGTGATGCACTAGCGGAATGCTGCGAGACTGTTAGGGAAAGAAAGAGATGGGAAGAGAAAGGGAGAGAGAGAGAGAGAGAGAGAGAGCTAGAAATTGTGAAAGGCGCAACTTCATCCTTCACCGAACCTCTTTGCTGGCTAGTAGGACGAGATATTGCTGTACATTGCATCACGATTATGTGTGTTGCCCACTCGCTCTTTGCACTGTTTGCCATTCACGTTTCTATCTTCTTGTTGTTGTTGTTGTTGTTGTTGTTGTTGTTGTTGTTGTTGTTGTTGTTGTTGTTGTTGTTGTTGTTGTTGTTGTTGTTGTTGTTGTTGTTGTTGTTGTTGTTGTTGTTGTTGTTGTTGTTGTTGTTGTTGTTGTTGTTGTTGTTGTTGTTGTTGTTGTTGTTGTTGTTGTTGTTGTTGTTGTTGTTGTTGTTGTTGTTGTTGTTGTTGTTGTTGTTGTTGTTGTTGTTGTTGTTGTTGTTGTTGTTGTACTTCGAAGTACAGTACTGTATTTAAAGTCGCATCACAAACAAGCAACTATGCCTTCTTAATATTATGTGGGCGTTTTTAGGAAGAAAATATTACGCAATAAAATGGAATGGAATGATGGTTGACTAGCAGAGGGTGTTATGGTGATACAGATACGAAAAGTATCTCAAGCAGTATGAGTCGAGAAAACCATGTGTTTTGTTTTTTTGTTTGTATTTATTTTGATTCGCAAATTCAAACGGGCATAGAACCCAATAACATGAAAGCGAATATGAAAATCATAATGAGAATGAGAATTCAAATACTTAGATCTTCAACGTAGAGTCAGCGGTACATCAGTGAGAGATCGGGTACAGCAGAAAGAGAACAGAAAAAAACAGACGATTTCGCTTGTCTTCAGCCTCTACAGGGGATTACCTGCGTGCGAAACTGCCGAGCGTGATGGATGGCACGGATGTCGCTGGGGAGGGCATTCCATGATGCAGCTCCCTTCCAAGCAAAGCGCCCCCGCCCCGCAACCCAATGGGAAACTGGCACGCACAGGCCCATGGCAGATTGGAGCCGAGTAGGGCCGGGTGCAGCGGGGGGGGGGGGGGGGGGTTAGCAGGGCTTGCAACTCTGGACTTGCCAGTGCATAACGACAGCGCCACACCAGGTATGCTAGCTTCTGATTGAAGACTTCTGCCACACGGAACACTGCAATGCGCTCCAGCACGGCAGCAGGTCGCGGGCAGGCGACCACGGAGGGCGGCCAAAGACAGCACGAGCCCCGCTGTTCTGCAGGACCTGTAGACGGTCGAGGTACCTTCTTTGCAGTGACGTCGAAGACATTGAAATGGGTGAAACTAATAGCTGCAGAGGTCACTACTGGACGTAGGCTCGTCAAAGTGGTGAACGAGGAATCAATAAACATAAGTTGAACATGGGGTTGACCATTCAAAGCGTTGCAGGTCCTCTAGCACAGATTTCGTGGCACTGGGAGTAAATGCGGTAGAGGCAAAAGGTCTTACCCTGCTATGTTCTGCTGGAGTTCTGTGTTACAAGTACACAGTTATTACACTATCATGTTCATGAATGCAATAGCACAAGATACAATAATAATAATACTCCAAAGTAATAATTTCTATTTCAGGATTACCCAAAGGCTGACGCCTATCTGGGGGATCTCCTACTTTGTGTATGGACTAGTAACATAGTTAAGGATGCGAGAGAAAGTGCGCAAAGTGAGATGATACAATGATTTGCACAGTTTGTTCTCATTTTTAATATCGAGAATTGTTTGGCCGCTTCCTGCACTCAGTTTAATCTCTAATGGCGGTTTGGATTGGTGAACAACTCACTCTCACGCAACACTATTTGGAGAGAAAGGAAGCTGAGAGATTCACTGTAATCACGACATCAGGTAACTGATGATCGAAAACAGGCAGCCTGAACTAGCCCTTGCCTGATAATGCTAAAAAAATTGGCAGATTCTGCTCCGAAAGATCCCCGGCCTTTGCGACCATTTGAACCGTATGAGGGTTAGTCCCGGTTCTGACCCTTAATACTGGGAAGTGGTTCTTTTCTTCTTATTTTTACCTCCATACGGTTCAAATGGTCGCAAGACCGGTGCTTTTTACCAACCGATGATGGTTGTAATCAGGAACACTGTTTTCAACACAGTGCGTCCTCCGCCTTGGAACATGTTGTCAACCAAACAAGGCTTACCTAATCCCATGTAAGATGCCTGAAGAAGGGCTGAGGCTTCCTGGAGCTTCATCTCTGAAAGGAATTCGGGTGCACACTTCCATTCCCATAGCGCTGCACATCCGAACCAATTCCGTTATTTTACAACGTCTTGGCACTTGGCCATCATCAGGCATAATAATTAGTAATAAGAACAATGAATACAGTGGAAGCCACACAGGAGCAGTATATTAGTCATGTACATGTACATGCATACGCAGAGTGTAGCGTCAAAAAGGATGCGAGTCATGTCACCTCTATGCAGAGAGAGAGAGGGGGGGGGGGCGGGGGAGAGAACATGCAACTGTGCACATCACGGAGAAGAAGCTGCAGAAGGTAGCGCGCCATTGAGCTCTGCGAAGTGAGAGTGCATGCCAAATAATACGCAGAGTGTAGCGCCAAAAAAAGATGTGAGTTATGTCACCTCTATGCAGGGGGGGGGGGGGGAGAGAGAAGGTGCAACACATTACGGAGAAGAAGCAGCAGCCCCCCCCCCCCCCTTCTGCATAGAGGTGAGTCACGTGACATAACTTCTTTTTTTAGGTGATGATGGCCAAGTGCCGAAACGCTGTAAAATAACGGAACTGGTTCGGATGTGCAGCGCAATGGGAATGGATGTGTCCACCCGAATTCCTTTTACCAAGTACCATGTGCATGTACATTTTTTTTTACTACAAAGCACTGGCCAGCAACATAAAAGATGTACCACGTATTTGCTGCACAGCAAAAAAACACATCAAACCACGACTAACGGTACGTACAGCGAGGACAGAGTTAAGGGGGCAGCCTACCCATAAATTTCATATGGCATTCAATTGACCGTAACTTTGGTGTTTCTCAATGGATTTGAGTGAAATTTTGACCACACACTCCTGCTACTATGCTGGCCCTCAGGACATGATTTACAAGTTCTTGCGCCTCACTCCAGGCCGGAAAAACTCAATTTTCCGGCATAGTGCCACGGTGTGCGAGCCACCCAGGAGCCAAACAAATGCATTTACAATTTTTTCACATTTTCGTGCTCATTCTGTTCGTGCGCGGGACTCAAACCTAGAACAAGTCCAGAAGCAGCCATGGGTGATGGGGTAGGGCCCCTCAACGAGGCCCTGGAATCTGTCACAACGGAACGAGTGGGCGTTCTCTCACACACTCCCACAGACCCAAGTCAAGTTTTGAATTTTTTTAGGTTTAGCACGTGCTACGAGGTCGTACCTTTGATACAACATCCAGTGCTGGGACCTCCACAGCAAGCCATTTCCACAGCGCTGCACACCAAATCCAGGATAACCTCAGAAACCGGCAAAGACTACCACTCACGTTTCACTACTGCCTAGTACTGAATCCTACCTGACTTCTTGACACGACTCAAACTTGCCAAAGTCACTAAATCAACGTCAACTACAATCATGAATCAAGCCACATATCTGCAACGTCACGAGGGTGCTGGCAAAAGTCCTGCTGCACGGCGGCGGGCGAAGCCCGCCGCCGTGCAGCCCAATACGTGGCTCAAAAACCTGATCTTTTGGACTTGGAGCAAAATTCTGCACACTTTCACGTGTTTCCATGATACGACAAGTTGCGCACGGTCTGCTCACATTCAAATACAGTGCTGCCAACAAATGACAGCGTGCAACAAAAAAATCTTTCCTTGCAAGGGCACATTTTCGGCCATAACTCTTGAACGGCGGTCAGATCGGGACACAATTTTCAGAGAATTTGCAGCTATTCATGCTCTTTCAACTGACGTAGCACTCAATATGAATTTACAACTTCGATTTTTCAGCGAATTTTTGGGTAGTCTGCCACCTTAAAATGGTGGACAGGCGATGGAAAGGAATCGTGCGTCTTCCGCACGTCCAAATAATGCCAACACTGTAATCACGAGAAGGCCATCACAGCGCTGGAGGAAAGGTGTTACAAGTCACTGAGACGTTGACTGTGTGCACGTGTCCTGGACCGGCCTGTTCTGGCTGGACATCCCGCATCCATCTAGCGATGTGCTCGCATGTGACTTACAGTACACAATACAGCATGATGTATGCCACATAGACACCGCTTTAGGAGCTGCATATGCGCCGTTGATCTTTGGGGTGCAGAAGACAATTTAAAAGTCAAATGAATTGCCAGGAAGCTTATCAAGCGTACAGTTTTGGTCCCATCTACGATTGTTCCCAACCCATCAAATGTGTCGCCAATTCCATCCGCCGGTGGGAGGTGAGTAGATCAGCGTGGTTAAAGACCGAGAATCCCATTCGTTGCATCCATGTTTCCCTCGTGCCAGGCCACGAGTTCCGAATTAACTGTGGGTCGCGGCTAGGGCTTGGCGGATAATGCCGGCAGAAAAATTGGCAGAATTCGGTACTTTTTCTGGTAAGTTTCATGCATGTTTGGTATGTGGATAAAGAAATGGAGCAGAATTCGAGGAATTGCCCGCCATAAGGTTTGTATGGTTCTGCCAATTTCGGTGCAAAAAAAGCAGAATCTGCCACCTTTTCGAGCATTATCCGCCAAGGCCTAGTCGCGGCACGGCTGGAAGAAAAATAATTTATCCCCTTCCAAGCAGGACTTGAACCTGGTACCCTCTGTTTCTCAATCATGATCCTAGGCCATCCCACTATGCCTGCCTGTCACTACATTCGATCCCGGGCCTTGTTGTTGTTGTTGTTGTTGTTGTTGTTGTTGTTGTTGTTGTTGTTGTTGTTGTGTTGCTGTTGTTGTTGTTGTTGTTGTTGTTGTTGTTGTTGTTGTTGTTGTTGTTGTTGTTGTTGTTGTTGTTGTTGTTGTTGTTGTTGTTGTTGTTGTTGTTGTTGTTGTTGTTGTTGTTGTTGTTGTTGTTGCTGTTGCTGCTGCTGCTGCTGTTGCTGTTGTTGTTGTTGTTGTTGTTGTTGTTGTTGTTGTTGTTGTTGTTGTTGTTGTTGTTGTTGTTGTTGTTGTTGTTGTTGTTGTTGTTGTTGTTGTTGTTGTTGTTGTTGTTGTTGTTGTTGTTGTTGTTGTTGTTGTTGTTGTTGTTGTTGTTGTTGTTGTTGTTGTTGTTGTTGTTGTTGTTGTTGTTGTTGTTGTTGTTGTTGCTGTTGTTGTTGTTGTTGTTGTTGTTGTTGTTGTTGTTGTTGTTGTTGTTGTTGTTGTTGTTGTTGTTGTTGTTGTTGTTGGTGTTGTTGGTGGTGGTGGTGGTGTTTTATTTTTATTCACAGAG